GTCCAGTTTCAGAGCTCTGCAACTCAACTTCAATAGGTAGATTCCTTCATCAATTCTTTACAACTCTGATATCATTGTGTTGCTCTCATTGCCTTGGTTCTAGTCGAAACACTTAACTTTTACTGGAAACACGTTTTGACCATGAAATTTCAAATACCTTTTCAAAACTTTCCTTCCAAATTGTTTGAGCTACAGTTTATATAAATTTGACGCGAGGGTGTGGTTGTCTTCGTCTTGAAGAGACGAAGCGAATGGCATAGGTCTGAGCTTCTGATTTTACAGTTTGAGAGACCTGCAATTCGTGATGGCTAGAGGTTGAAGATGACCAACGTGTCATCTTCCAACCACTGAAGGCGCGCCATCTGTTTTTTCCAAATCTGATTTAATTAATGATTTTGTACATTATTCACTAATGACCATGATATGCACAGCGCGCCAGATCCCTTAGATTTGATTACTAATGTGTTTTGACTCTCATCCAATGGTTCACATATTTTACTTTTATTTTCTTTTTCTGATTTTTATATTTTAATTGTTTTAAATTTCAAAAAATCATAGAAAATTCATTTTTAGTCCAAAAAATATGAAAAAATTATGAAAAATATTTTTGATTATCCTCTTTCTGATTTCTATTTTTTCATAATTTAATTTTATGCTTTTATATTTTTTATATTTTTTATAAATTTTACACTTATTTGATTTGTTATAAATGTTTAAAAATATTTTTATACATTTTAAAATTCTGAAAAAATTATGAAATGATCCAATGATATTGACAAATATTGGTGACCTTATTTTATTTTTGTTTCTGACTTTACTATTTTTTTACCATTTTTTGTCTATTTTACCCATTTATTTTAATTTTAAAAATAGTTTCTGACTTTAAAAAATTACCAAAAAATTTGTAAAATTATTTGAGCCTTTTTCTGATTTTTCTATGGTCTTACTTTTTATTTCTTGATTAATTTGAACATAGTTGATATTTTTCTCATTATTTTCTATTTTTAAAACATTTTAAAATCCTTTTTGTGTATATTAAATGTGATATTATTTTGTGACTATTTTCTGGCTGATCTTGGGTTAGATTTTGGATCATAAACTTTATTAACATCATTGGGTCCATGGTGTTGAGTTTAACTCCACAAAAATGGATGAATGATTTTAATAATAGTTCGATTAAAATTTAATTCAAATGTGGTTTGTGTATTTTTTTTCTCATCCCTCTTCATCTCATCCCCTTCTTATTGCACTAGATGTTGTTGGAGCATGATCTATATATCATGTCTCAAAAAAAATGGTGCATAGATTGCTATTGACCGGCCTCAAAATAGGTGCGACTTCTATATAAGTCCACTTACGATTGCTTGACATAACGCTAAATTTTGTCCCGATTCGAATAAATGATCATCTGTGGCCCAAACTTATGATTGCAAGCCCAAGTATGTTAATTTGATCTCGTTGATCCAATAACCTTGAGATTCATTGTGTGGAGGCTTTGGTTCTACCAATCCTCTAATGGATCTACAACACCTTTGGTCAACACGGATCACTTAAACATCGTTGATCATTAAATGGTACTTATGAGAATTCCAAATGGATGATATACTTGATAAAAAGCAAATGCAACTTATTGTGTGGAGGCTTTGGTTCTACCAATCCTCTAATGAGTTTCAAATGCAAGTTTCAAGATGGTCATCCAACTAACCACTAATTATTGACTTGTTTTACCGTATGCTTTTATTCTTTTTTATGCTTTATGTACTATTTACTTTTAACATTTACATTTCATGCCATTTTCATCTTTGCTCATTTGAGCATTTATTTTCTTGCCATTTTTACTTTGCTCACTTGAGCTCTTCTTTTCCTTTCTTAAGATACTTAATAATCAACATAAACCCTAAAAAATCTTTAATGGTACTTGGACTATTTGGTTACTATCCTTGGCATTATGGAGCATGGGACTTTTTCTTGGACTTAGGATTAGAAACTTTGGCCTATCTTGGAGATCTTATCTGATTATTTTGTTTGGAGTTCTTGAGGTTTACCTCAAGACACTGGGTTGCTTGTTTGTTTTTGTGTGCAGGTTTTTGTGATTACATCCTTTGTTTGTAATCTGGAATTCACCCGTATACAGCCGTTACTCTGCCCAATTTTTGTGAAGACTTAATACACTTGAAGTTTGGTTCTCTCAAGAGGTCTAATATCTTTGCTTGCTTGGTTTCAATCCAAAGAATGAGAATTTTATCTTGGCTCATGATGTTAAGTATTGGCTTTTTATTGGTTAGACGATTCTTATCCCTAACTTTTACCTTATGATTTAGGATAGTCTCTTCTTCTCCTCTCATCTTCTTTAATTTCAAAATCTTCTCCCTCCTTTTGAAAACTCTTCTTGTTTTGAAACTTGAACTATTTTCATAATAAACTTGGACTTAGGTCCATGTATTTTCAAAACATTTTCATAAATAAACTCCAACCAACTTAATAATACCTTGACATCTTTTTGTGAGAAGATTAAAAGTCAATCAATCTCATTTCAAACCATTTTGCCACTTTGCCTTTTTACCTTTAAAATTTTCTTAAAAGATTAAACTCTTGTCAATCCTTGTAGTGATGCAAACAACTATACTTCTACAACATGTAGTGAAGAGTGATATTTTCCACTTAGGTGTTGAGTGAGGCATTGTTGATTTTGAAATCCAAGCCATATCCTCCACTTTGAGATGATGCAAATTCTCCTTTCTCATGGTTGTGGATAGTAAGTGTGTTTTCCACACGGACAATGACGATGATGTTTTATCTTATAAAATTAACCAACACATTTGTGTTTTAAATTTTTAAAAGAGGAACTACGTGTACCCTGATCCCCTATTGCACGAAAGGTGGTACGTAGGCACTAAAGATTCGCAACCGCGACGGGTGCAAAAATCATTAAAAAAATATATTTATTCTCACCTCCACCATCCATTTTTATATACAACAGTTTTTATAGCCAAAATATACAGATTTTACAAAGAGGCTCCTGCGGAGTACCGTAGATGTTTAGGGTGTTAATACCTTCCCTTTGCATAACCAACCCCCTTACCTTGAATCTTTCCCCCTCTTTTTGGATTATTCGCTCTTTTCTCATTCCTTTAAAAACAATAAAGCGCGGTGGCGATTTTTATTTTGATCTGTAAAAGTCTAGTCAATCCAATGACTTAGTCTTGAACATTTCTATCACTACAGATACCATGTTAAATATGTTTTGAACTCAATCTCAAAAACTAGCTCAAATGATGAAATTGTCCTCACATGTTTATACAATTAACAGCTAAGAACCTAAACAATATAGAACTTCAAACAAATTCCAACAAAGTTAACAACACCGGATGTATGTTGGCAACACCAAATTCTTCCTTTTTCGTTTGGATCGACTATAAACAACATACTTGAGTAATTTTCTCCACAAAAGTTATTTCATTAGGATCCCAGGTAACAAATTAAAAAGAAATGACTACACTACATTGATTTTAAAATAAAATAATTGTAACCAAAAATAAAAAATAATTGGCCAATTAGACTTTTAAAAATTGAGGATTGTTTATTGTATTTTATATTGGTGTTACTCACACACCCTAATAAAAATTCAATAATACTGAAATTTTAAAATGTATTTTCGAATGTACCATGTCAACAGTATTTCGAAAGTTATTTTGCTGAAAAAATAATCTAAAAGTATTGTTATAGAATAAAATAATCTAAAAGTATTATTATTATAGAATAAATCCGGAAAGATACTTTAGTAGGAGATATACCATCACACTCGCTATTGAATTAAGAGTCATTACAAATTTCATCAAGAAAGTAAGCACAAAAACAAGAAGAAACAAAAAACAAGAAACCGTCGAAAGTATCATCTGTACAAAGAGAATATAATAATAAGATAAAAACAATTGAACATGAAATTCCAATTACACTCACTCTTAAAGAATGGGTTATCAACAAATCATTGGCAAAATCCGAAGCCATGTCTTGCAAAGCGAGATTCTGTGGCATATCAGATGGTTACTAGTTTAATTCATAGTTGCATCCTCTACCATTCGTTTCTCTAAAGAAGTATTGGCTCATTTACAAAATGTTGGGGGGTGTATTTTAGATGCTTCCGAAAATATACTTTTAAATTTTTGAAAAAGTTATTGAGTTTTTGTAGGATAGCTATTCACCGCTATGGATGGAAATAACAAACCCCTATAAAAGATAGGAACATGTTTGATGTAAAAGATAAATATAAAACATATTCTAGCCTTCATTAAGTCATGAAAAATTGAGATTCCTAATTTTCTCATAAAAGATGAATTTGTAAATATTCAAATGTGACATGTTATAAGATGACCATTAGTGCTACAACAATTATAATATTTTCTCCTTCTCTAATTTTTTTTAATAAAAAAAACAAAACATTTTACTAAATTTAATAATAAATTTAAATCAGGATAAAACTTTGAGTGTACCAGAAGTATCTTTTAATTATATATGGATGTCAATTACAGATATAATTGAAGTTCATGGTACATTGGAAGAGTAACAAAAAAATTTAAACTCTCCTTGGAAAGTAACAATTGCTAACTGCATTTCACAGTAGCCATGCAAAAATGGGAGAGGGGCATGAAACACACCGCATTTCATACACGAATAAGTTCATTTGAAGTAACTGGTTTCATACAACTCATTAAATAACGGAAAGAGCAAGAAAGGTGTTGGTTGGATCTAAAGAGACCACCATCACAAGTCAGACCTGAATCTGACGTGCAATTCACATATTAGCAACATCTGGAATGTAGAGCAAGTGGTTGATGCGCAATGTGCATTGTAAACCCCGGAGTACCAAGTTCAAGTTCGATTCTTACTGATCAAAAAGTCAAGAACTGCAGCAGAAAACAACTGAGCTCATCTTGAACAACGATCTAATAAAAAATTGTAGGTTTTAAATATATTGGCATATCTCGACATGATATATATCACTAGTCGTCCCATGTTGATTGCCCTCCCATTCCGATTTCAGTTATTGGAGATGATAGAGACTCCAGGTTATGCATTTCCGCGCTCTTACGCTTGACAGGTGTCTCTATGCTGCCCAACGGTTTCAAATCCTTAGCCACTTTGTCCTTTAGTTTCATTGCACTACCATGATTCAAACTGTGTTCATCCTGGATGTTAAAGAGGTCCACAAATGAAATTTCTGGATCATCAATAATATCAAATTGACTTCGCTTCTCAGGCTTTTGATTCTTCTTCTTTTTCTTCTCAATGCTATTGACATTCTCCTCAAGAGCCAAAGCCTTGTCCGAGGGCTTGTCATCCTTTCTTTGCTTTTTCTTAGTTGATTTTTTCTTCGTGTCAGGATCAACAGTACCGATAACTTTGTCTTTCTTTCTATCTCCATTATCCTTGCTGTGACCTGTATGTTCCTTATCATGGACACCGGCTTCCTCAGAAACATCAACAGTTTTCTTTCTTTTTTTATCAGACTTAGTTTCATCAGCAGCTTCAAGACGATCATCGTCATTTTGACTCACATGATCTAATGAAAAATCATGAGCATCATCGGCTATGTGACCTTTGTCATTCTTGGCATCTTTATCTAAAGGTTTGGCATTGAATACTTGTAGCTTTGGCAGTGCATTCTTAATCTGTAACATTATAGCCAATTAGCCATGGTAGTTTAAGAATGAAACTTAGAAATATAATGCATATATTATTAACAATGTGAGCCAAAAAAAAAAAATCAGGGGAGCACCTTTCTTGTAACTTTCTCAATTGAAGCAACAGGATTTCCTTGTAAATTGAGATTTCTCAGTTTGGTAAGTGATTTGAGCACCTACAGTTGCAATACAAAATGATGTTTCGAGGTAAAGTGTTCTAAACAACAATGAAATGTTGATGAAGAATTCCAAATATACATGACAAACCTTTACTTCGGACCATCTTCCGATCACATTGCTCCCCAAATCTATATTCTGAAGCTTTGAATTATGTACTAATTCTTCCGGGAGAGACTGAAATAAAAAAGTTAGCACAATAGTGTAATCAATGTAAAGCAAAATATTCTAAAGAAATATAGTCACAGTAAATATGGTATGAATGCACTGCATTGAATATTCTAAAATTATGTCGAATCAAAAAGGTAAGTCACAGCTTTGAGGCACACCTTAATGTCATTGTGAGCAAGACGGAGCTCGGTCAATTCAACACAAGACTTGAGGGAAGTGTCAATACCCTGAAGCTGACAATGAGAAAGGGAAAGCTGGAACCAGAAGAGGTATTATGAGAAATCAGAATGCAATACTGAAACAACTAATGAGCACTAAAAGAGCACAACAGATTGGAGCATTCATTACCTTTTTGATGGAATTCACCTTCTTCAGGGCATCACCAATTTTATGGATAGGATTTTTGGATAGAACTACAGAAATTAGAGTTATTTAAAAAAGTTATTCAAGCCGGAACAGTCGGCGAGATACTATTTGGCTAAAAGTAAATTGCATTTCAAACATACAACGGGCACAGAGTGCATGTATCAAAAAAACTAACAACAGTATAGAACAAATTCCTGTAGAACAAGTTTTCAAGTAATCTTCTTATAAAGCCGCTTGGGAATTAGGATCTACCAACAAAGTTTGGAATAAACTCCTATAGAACTAACTTTTCAAGTAATCTTGTTATATTCTATTTAGATTTCCAGCTTCAAACTCACAATTTGCTTCAAGAAGTGCACCATTCTTATAAATGGATATAAACTAAGCAATCAATACTCAAATATAGCCTAGTGTGATGAAAGCACAGTCTCAAAGCCATGACAGTCGCCGAAGTCTAAAAAAGATGGACGATAACAGAAACTTATACTACTAGGGCAAAAAAATCTAAAAACTATAAAGAAAACGATGAACACAATCAGCCATACCAAGAGTATTCAATTCTTTCATCTTATCAAGTTTGCAAATGGAGTTAATCTCGTTGTCTGTCAAAAACAAAAGTATAAAATTTAGAAACATCGAAATATACACAAACATTCACTACTAACATTTCTTACTCACATTGTTCTTAGTTAAAACTTCAAAATAGACGAAGTAAGCACGCGATTAAGAAACCTCACCATTCAAAATCAGTGCGCGAATGGTAGTAAGTGACCCAACCTCATCCATAGACTTGATTTTATTTTTTCCAGCATTTAGTACCTGGTTCACATATTCATATAAAGTGACTCTTACATTCTGATGTATTTAACACTTAAATTTAAATATAAAAAATAAAGGTGAGATTAAGAAATCAGCTAGCTACTTACAGTGAGCTTAGTAAGTTCTTGAATCCCTTCTAAGCTTTCTAGTTTATTTTCCACAACTGATAACCACTTCAAATTAACACAACCCCTCAATCCCTATTGTAACATTGAAATATTTAAATTTTCATGTAAAAATTCATAAAAAATAAAAATGAGCTGAGAAATAAAAAAACTACCTCAAGTGAAGTGAGATTATTGAACTTTAGGTCAAGCTTCTCCAATTTATTGAAGATGGCCAAGCATGATACCTGGGTAATTAATAAAGAAAAATCGAAAAAGAAATTAGGGTTCTAAGTAGCTAGGGTTGCAGAAAAGAAAAGGGGAATGATTGATGGAAGGTTACATCGGAGAGAGCTTTGTGAGTGAGGTGAAGACTGGAAATTGAACTTGGATCGGCGGCATTGTTGTCTTTCAATACCTGCTCGGAGCTCAAACGAGTCATTGCTTCCTCTTTCTCCCCTTACTTCACTCTCGTTCAAGACGCACTGCGACGGTTCTCAACTTTTAACCTAAAACTATAAATCGTTTCGATGTTTAGTGAAAACCCTAACATTCATTTCTTTTTTCTTTTTGGTAAAAACTTAGACGAATGTGTCTTTTTTTTAGGATCTTTTTGGATGATTATGAATTAATTGGAACAGAATAGAATGAAATGGAATTTAAATTTTATTTTATGTTTATAATCACTTAATAAAGGGAATTGATACATACAACATAGATAATTTTTTTATTTGTTATAAAATATTATTAATGCTGTTATAGGTCTCAAGTCTCAACAATAACAAGTCAATTTTTTATTTGTAAATAACTTGAGATAGTTTCTTGCTAAAACTAAATAAGAGATTTTACTTTAAATACCTATAATTTCTTGAGTGTAGGATATTATTAGTTAAAGTAGTGCAGTTGTTTGGGATGCTTGCAGGTTGTGTCTTGTTACTGCTATCTATTATGAGCAACGTAAAAGAAATTATGTCTAACCATTCGAAAAAACGTAATTTAATATCAATCTAAATTTTTTAGAATAAAAGTGAATTTAATATAGTATTAAACAATACCATACATAATTTTTTGAAGAAAATTGAAAGCGACGTGAGCATGGAAATCAATATTTTAAAATCCAGATTGATGATCGACTCGGTAAAGTTATTGGGTCACTGGGTTACTGATCGGACTAGTGAGTCACTGGGTTACTGATCGGACTAGTGAGTCACTGGTCAGACTGCATGGCTTTTGACCCGATTTCTATAAAAAATATATTCATTACCTGAAATTTATAACTATAATAATATAGAAAATTATAAATTCAAATAATTTAGAATAAACAAAAGTATTAGTAACAATCAAAATAAGTGATAGAAACTTAATGTAGCAAATTATAAATTCAAATAAGTGATAGAAACTTAACAATTCATAAGTTATAGTATTATAATAAGTCACAAAAATTTATACTCAACGATCCATAATTTTTTATGTCCATGAAGTCAAATTGTCATAATCTTGATATTCATATTCATCTTCAATTTCATTGTGTTCTCCACCAACTTCATATGTATTTAAATATAAAAATATAATGATCAGAGAAAAATAACCATAATAATACATATTTTGAAGTCTCAAGTTGTAACGAACAAACACTAAATCATTAAGCTTTTGGTGCTCCAATCTATTTCTTTTTTGGAATGAATATGCTCAAATATACTCCAATTGCGTTCACAACCCGAAGCACTACAAGTTTGGCTTAAAATACGAATAGCTAACCTTTGCAAAGTTGGTGTACAAGTGCCATAAGTTTCCCACCATTGATTTGTTTATACCATGTGATTAAATAAATTTATAAACATATTGAAATATAAAATAAAATATATATCAAGAGTTAGAAGTTATGAAATTACCTGCCCTCACAATACATTGTTCATCCACGACTGATTTCCTTCCAAAATCTAATTCACCGTCTTTGAATATTCTCATCTCATCTGTTAACTTCAATCGATGTTCAGAATTTCCATTAGCATGTTTTTCAATGACATCTAAAAGTCCTGATGTTGTGGATGCATGTTTTTCAAATTCTACATCATTATATCTACAAGCTGGATTCAACCAATAACCGGCAGCATGAAGATTTTTACGGAGCTGTGAATCCCAACGTTTATCTAAGATTTTCAAGTAAGGATCCACTTTCTTCTTATTTCTTTGAACCTCCTCACCATCTCCTCTCTAGCTTTGACTATATATTTGTATAGAATGCCCATAGCAGGTTTATCTTCACTATCAACAATACGCAATACACGCACAAGTGGTTCAGTGAGTTTAACTACATCAGCATATTTACTCCAAAATCTAGAATCTAAAACTTGATCCATAAATTGTTTTGCCTTTGCTTCTTTGGCATATGCTGAGCTTGTCCATTCTTTAGATGTTACCATGGCTCTTAGTGAGTTTTTGTGAGACAAAATACTTTGCAAAGCAATAAAATTAGTGGCAAACCGAGTTGGAGCAGGACGAAGGATTTCTCTTCCACCTGTTTGTTTTCTCATTAAATACAATGCATAACAATGGTTATAAATATATTTGGTAACATTAGAAGCATGTGACATTGTCTCACTTACTTCCTCTAATTTTCCCATGTCTTGCAACATTAAGTTAATGCAATGTGCCGCACAAGGAGACCAAAATAAAGTAGGAAACTCATTTTCTAATAACCTTCCAACAGCAACATAATTTGCAGCATTATCTGTCACTATGTGAACTACATTTTCAGGCCTAACAAATAAAACCACCTCTCTAAAAAACTTATACAACATATCTGCAGTTTTTGAAGCATGAGAAGCATCAACAGATTTTATAAAAATAGTACCTTTGGGACAATAAACTAGAAAGTTTATAAGAGTTCTTCTTTTTCGATCAGTCCATCCATCGGCCATTAGAGTACAACCAGTTTTCTTCCAAATCTCATGATACTCCTCTATCAATTTGTTCACATCTTCAACCCATTTATTTAACAAATAGCCACGAAGACTATGCATAGTTGGAACTTTATACCCCGGACTCATGCTGCAAAGTGCATCAGTCATAGATTGAAAATACGCAGAATTAGCTGCATTGAATGACACAGAAGAATCAATGAACCATCTTGCAATAGCTAGATCACACTTCTCCACCAATTCCTTACTTTGTAACACACACTTTTTAAAGAAGGTTGAGCTCCAGGAGTTGTTCTAGGCATAAAATAATTACCAATACGACTAGTATTCTTTCTCTTTTGAGACACAATCACCGAATTTGATCTTGATTATTCTACATCCATTTCTACTACACCACCCTCTTGAGTAGTAAGATCAACATCAAAATTGTGTGCTTGAGTCTTTCTTCTCTTATTTGCACCTTCATCAAGATTTTGTTTCATTTGATATTGAACATCTGGAGGCACCTTTTTACATGTTTCAACTTGACCTTTTATTCCAGTCAAATGGAATTTGAACCTATTAATCCCCCCTCCTCTAATAATTTTATCACAGTAAATACACAAATTAACAAGTTTTCATTTCTCTTCAATTTGTTTACAATGACCCCAAGCTATATCAGTTTTTCCCCTACTGCTCTGGAGTTGGGTTGGATTTTGAGATGTAACTTCTTCCGAAGTTATTACTTCAGCGAATGATGTCATATCTAATATCAATCAAAATTTAAAAATACAAAACTATATTACAAAAATATTAACAAAACACAATTCTAAACAAAAATTATTGAATTTATAAAAACATTATAAGAAACATTAAATATGTAGCATATCTAAATCCAAAATATATGAATATGTTGTTGTATATTACATACAGGCTACCAAGCATCGTTACTGTGCATCACCATATATAATAAAAAAATAGAAACTTTGTTTTCCAGCCTTTGCTATATATTTTAGATTAATAAAATTCAGAAACTTTTCTTTGTTGTATAATTTAAATTAATAAAAAACAGAAAACTTTGTCTTACTATATAATTTAGATTACATAGTTTTAAACTCAATTTCTATCTCCATAAATATACAACGACTATATATATATATATATATCCCAATTTCTATCTCCAATATACAACAACTTCATTACCAGTCTATAATAAGTTAATTCATAAAAGTATAAAACTGCTTCATTCATACAAATTCTATCTCAATTTGTTAAGCTAAAAGACCCAATTTTATAGAAAATGATCAAATTTAATCATTTATTTTCTATATCAATTAATCAACAAAATGAAACAATAATATTCATATTGAAAAACATCAATGCAAATTAGACCAAGTAAAAAAGAAATAACCTATTTTTGATGTTTTGATGAAATTTTTGACGGCAAACAAGGAATATCAAATAACAGCAACAAGTGGGAGTTTTTGTTGGTAGAGAAAATTGAGAATATGACTTTAATTAGAAAAACAAAAGACAGAATAAAAAAGAAAACCTTTCAAATGTCTAGGTTTGGAAAACGAGGAGGCAAAGCGTTTGTGTTATTTTTTTTTTCAAAAGCCCTAAAAAATAAAATAAATAGTCAAACTCGTCGGTTCAGTAAAAACCGCTAGTTCACTGGTTTAACCGGTGATCCGGTTGGTTCACACCGGTTTCATCCGATCTAAATATAATTCTGGTCTTATCCCTTAATCGGACCGCCTGATCCACCGGTTTTCAATCAGACCGGTCTGACCGGCTGGGTCGGGCTGGGTTTTAAAACACTGATGAAGATAAATCCAGATTTTTTATTTAATATAACACACACAGATAAAAATATGTAAAAAAATAGAAGAAACATGATGTATCTTGTTAGATTGAAAGAAAGATAGTCTCTATGAAAATATGTGAAGGAGAAGAGTTGCAATGAAAAAATATAATTATAAATTGAAATAAAAATAAGAATGATTAATAAAAATGGAAAATTTGAGGACATAATTATAAATATATTATTAATTGATTTCATTCGGTTAGATATACCCTAATTTGGGGGAAATGAAAGTTTGGATGAAATAGTGATATCGAATAAAATGGATTTCATCACACTCCATTTCATTCAATTCATTTTTTGTAAAACCAAACAAACAATAGAACATGATTCCATTCCACTCTGCATCATTTCATTCTATCTATTTTCATCAATCCAAACACACTCTTGAAGACAAGGTTTCGATGATTCTAGATAGTGTAATTTTGATAACTTTAATTATAAATTTATTCTCTTAGATCAATATAATATATAAAAATTATTTTTTTATTCATTTTTCAACTCAAATTATAAAGTTACAAAGTTATGTCATTCCTATTTTTTAGAACGAAATAACTATGAAATTTTTATTTATTTTATTTTATTTTTTAATTTTATATAAATAATTTTTATTCCTTAAATAATAAACATTGATTTTTAATTTTTTTTTAAACAGTTTCATCAATTAAATTGTTTATT